AGAACCTTTGATTTTTTTTTTAACATTTTTTTTTTTAATTGGAAAGGCATATTTACAGAGAGAAGGAGATACAGAGAGAAAGATATTCTGCCTGCTGGTTCACTCCCCAAGTGGCTGCAATGACTGGAGCTAAGCCGATCTAAAGCCAGGAGCCAGGAGCTTCTTCCGGACCTTCCATGTGGGTGCAGAATTCCAAGGCTTTGGGTTGTCTTCTACTGCTTTCCCAGGCCACAAACAGGGAGCTAGATGGGAAGTGGAGCAGCCAGTATACCAATCAGCATCCATGTCCACACCCATTTGGGATGCTGACATAAGCAGGGAGAGGATTAGTTAGTTGAGCTATCATGTTACCAAATACCTCCCCGCCTCAGGAAATTTCTGTAATAGCTTTTGAAAATCTTGTTAAATCTAGAATTATCCTTGAATAAATTTTGTTAAAAACAAAGAAACTCAATTTCAAAAGTGTGATGACGGTACAATTGTTCACCTTGATGACCTTTACATCAACACATTTCAAACTCTTTCTCTTTAGAAGCCTTCTAGTGTCAGGCACCAGGACACCTGTTGGGAAGCTCTTGGTGAAACAATCTTGAAAGAGATGGCCCAAAGCTCAACCAAGAGTATTTTTTCAAAAGAATTTTAATTTTTATTTGAAGGGTAGACTTACATAGAGAGAACAGATAGAGATCCCCCATCTGCTGTGCATTCGCCAAATGACCCACAAGAGCTAGAGCTGGTCTGGTGTGAAGCCAAGAGCCAGGAGTTTCACATGGGTTACCCGTGTGGATGCAGGATTCAAGCATTTGGGCCATCTTCCACTGTGTTCCTAGTACATCAGTTGGGAGCTGGATCAGAAGTGGAGCAGCCAGATCACGGGGTTTAGGTTGTCAGCAAGGTCCCAAGGTCACCGAGGGTAAGCCCATGGTACTTTTTGGTCATAAAATACACAGAAAGCAAGCAGGTGACGTCCGTTTATTCAGCGCAAGTTACAGATTTATAAAGGTCTAAGAAAAGGAGGTTTTCAGGTAGTCCCTTCACCCAATAATTACACTGTAATTAGATGAAAGGCATGCCTAATCCTGTTGACATTCCAATCATATCAGAGGTCACATCTTATACACAGGGTTTGAAGTCACACACTAGACCAGGGCAGACATGCCTACGTCATGCCCACCAGGTAGAAGGCAGAGACCCAGGGATGATTTCCCACATCTCCCCTCTGCTTTTAGAACAAATTCTACCACCATGACTTCCACCGAAATGGGAGACCTTATGTCCTGCGATTCTAAGGTGTTGGGTAAACATTGAGGACAAAATTTAACATAAGAACATCAAATGGTACAGCAACACATTGCAGGCAGAATGCCTGTCACAACAATGTTACATCTCTTTGATAGCAAGTCCAGCTTCTGTTGGAAGGTTGGTCTGGTTGGTCTATAAATATTTGGCCTAATTTTGAGTCCCAAAGACACTGGTGGTCAGCACGGTTATGTTGATCACCTCCTTACAGTTCAGATGATCTGAATCAGGGACAGCATAGATGGTGCAGCTGCAGTCATCGTGGTCACAAGGGAGACAGCAGTGGTGATGACGAGGCCAGTTGTCTGCTGCATTCGGTGCAGAATGGAAGAGAAGAGGATCCCATTGTGAACTTGCTTTCAGGGTACCTTCCATTTTTCATCCAGCTGAACTGGAATCTGAGGTGCTGGCATTATTAATAAGTGAAGGCTATGCAATTTTGCATGGACAAGCCGTCACTTTGAATCATGCATGGGGCCAAATGAGGCCACAGACTGTGGAAATTAAAAGGTAACTTCTCCAGGGACCAGAGACCCTAACTCGGCCTATTATCCCATCTGACTTCTCACATCCACCCCCTCCAGGAGAAAGAACCCTAGCTGCTGTCAGGGATAGGAGCCTACAATCGCTCTGGCTGCTCCATGCTGAAAGGGAGTGTTGGAAGGCCAGGGACAACAGCAAGGTATTCTTCAGGGAGTCTATCTAGAGGTTCCTGATAGAAGGTAGAATCCATCGAGTGTCTGAAGTATTAATTGGAGCTTGGAGCTTCTCCTTGTTGAAGTTTGAACTTTGAAAAGGTTAAGCCATTTTGCATCTGGTATTGGGAGGGAGCTGGGCTCCTCTTTTTCCATTGTCTCCTTGATGGTAATGGATCTTTCAGGATGAGGTTCCAAGGTTGTCCTGCTGGAGGGGCATCCTCCAGTGGATGGGGTCCAGGGCTTGACATAATTAGCAGACACCCACAAAGGCTGCAGCTCAGTTTCTGGAAAAACACAAGCAAACCCTCCTCCCACAGTTAGCAAAGGGTCCCTCCACCAAATCAAAGGCATCTGCATTGGTCCTGCAAGCAGCCTCTAGTGATGCTCAGCTGGTAGCTCACCAGAGGTGAAATCTGTAAGTGAGGCTTGGCAAAAGAATCAATGGAACAGTCCAATAAACTCCTGGGGAAGTGATTTCCATTTGATTTGATCATTAGTGGAAGAGTTTGTCCGTCCAGTGGGAGAGGACCATGACATTCCCCCTCCGGATGACAGGGATGGGGTTCACCCCACTACCTGAGTCAAAGGCTGGCCACTCTTGATGCGGCAGATCCTGCAATCCTTAGCCCAATGAAATCCCTTTTTGCATCAAAGGCACACTGATCGGAGCACAGGTGGCAGAGGGTGAGGACTTGGTGTGGAAACATTAGGACAATTGCGTTTTATGTGTCCTTGATCTCCACATCTCCAGCATAAAGGAAATTCAGCTGACCTTGTGTGGCTCTGGGTGCAGTCTGCACTCAAAGCCTGAGCTATTCTTAAGTCTGAATGGGGGCGGGGAGGGATAGCTCTGTCTGGGGTGGTGCAGGGGAACTTGAAACCAATGGAGGTGGTGGCAACTATTGCCCGTGGGCTCTCCACGTGAGTTCCCCTGTAACTGGGTCTGGAATAAAGTTGACAAGAATGATCTGAGGGTGTGTGCATCCCCCTGCTGGGCTGAAATGCTAAATGGCAGAGGACCTCACTTCCCTTCTCCAAACATGATTTCAGCTGCACTTTCTTCTGTACCCAAATAGGACTCAAACATCACTGTACTGAGTCAGACAATTCTGTCTCTGGGGTGGTCTGACTCTGCTTTTTAGAGTCTGAGCCACTGGAGCTTATTTGACCCATAATCACCGTGAAACACAATCAAGAAAACAGGAGACCCACACTCCAAAAGCTCCACAAAAAAGCCAATATCCTCTATCACAGAAACCAAACCAAAGAGTGAAAATCTCAGAGCACAAACTGGGGGTGCTCACCACTGGGTGAAATCTGAATCCACAAACCAGGACTGTCCACCACTCGACGAGACCAAAGCCCACAAACCAGGGTTTACTGACACCTTGTCATTTCTTAGTCTACACACTGAGGCTGTCCAGGCTGGAATCCAGGCTAAAGTCCTCACCTTGCATGTGCTAGGATCCATATGGGTGCCGGTTCTAATCCCGGCAGCTTCGCTTCCCATCCAGCTCCCTGCTTGTGGCCTGGGAAAGCAGTCGAAGACGGCCCAAAGCTTTTGGACCATGCACACCTGGAAGAAGCTCCTGGCTCCTGGCTTTGGATCGGTTTGGCTCTGGCCGTTGCGGTCACTTGGGGAGTGAATCATCGAAGGGATGGAAAAACTTCCTCTCTGCCTCTCCTCTTCTCTGTATATCTGACTTTGAAAAAAAAAGATTCCACCTTGTAAGTAGCAATAGAAGGCTACATAACAGGACATGAATTCAGTGTCAGGGGCCCCTCCTTGGGTCTCAGGGTTGCCTAAGTCAGGGGGAAGAAGCACAGCTTCATTAACTTAGTAAATCCAACTAAGGATCTCTGCAGATAAACAGGAGGTTTGCTAGAGACACCACTGCCTGAGCTCCTACCCAGGAATCCATGCCCTTGCTGTTCCACGACGCTTCTCCCCAGCACTCATTCCTCCTGAGCCACCCCACAGGCGAGGGCATGGCTCCTGAGCCGGGCACCGGGGCTCCCTCCTCCTCCATCACAGGATCACACATGCCATGCCTGCGTCTGACTTCCCAGTTATCCCAGACGCTCAATGGAGGGTGGGGCTTCAGGCTTTTTTTCATTGCACTGGCCAGGTCTTCAACAAGGCCTTGTTGGGTAAAAGATTTTGTACACTCGCTGAAGGAGCTCCTCTCCAGCAAGGGACTTTTGAGCTGCCCAGAGCAAGAACACCAGAGTTCCAGGGCCCGTGGAGCCACCTCCGGGATCAGCTGCAATGGGAGGGTAAGACAGCCAGCCAAACAGCCGCCTCTGCAATGGCCAACAAAGAACTACCCAGGGCTTCCTACCTACCCAGGAATCGCTTATGAATATGAATCACGCCCACACACATTCCCATGCCGAACCGAGTTCATGATATCAAATGTAACAATCGCAATTTTCCTGTCAGACTTCTAGAACATGCAGCTTCTAAAGCTGGGAGTGAAGATGGTGAAGTAACATCTTCATCAGCAGGCACTTTGAACAGCCTCGCGCCCCCTGCTCCGCCCAAACACAGACGCTGCTCGGATGTCAGGCCTGCCCAGGCCGATGTGCCAGGTGAACGCTCCTGGCCCCCACAGCGTGGGAGGACTCGGACTTAACATATGTTAGGTTCAAAAGGGGTTAGGACGCGTCTCTCCTTTCAAGGGAACACACGCTTGTGGCCACATTCAGAAGGCGAGGCTACCCTTAGCCAGAGCTTGGCGTTGACCAACAGGGTCCAGCCGTGAAGGCACAAAGCGACGTCCACGCGAACGCACACGCCCCTCGCCGCGCGCCGCGCATGCGCACTCCGACTGGGAAAAGGCGGACCGCGGCGCGCCGGGCGGTCTCAGCCTGGCGTCCGCGGTCCCCTCCTAGGCCCGCCTCCGTGCCAAAGGGAGTAGAGGATTGGCCACCCTGGATCCGGCTCGGGGCGGGGATTGGCTGATTGGCAGCAACGATCTGGGACAACCAATCTGGAGGCCTGAGTAGCTGGAGAGGGTGCTGGCTGCCGCGCGGCGCAGGTAAGTGGGGCTGGGGACTTGGAAAAGCGGTTGGCGAGGAGGTGAAGGAGGCGGCTACCTCTTCGGGTGGCGGCTGCGGGACGCAGTGTTAATAGTCGGGGTGCGAACCGAGGCAGTCCGGTTCGGCCATGCGGGGCGACCGGCGGGCCCCGTGGGCCGGTTGGGCGTCTGCTCCGCGGCCCTGGGAAGGGAGCCGGGGACGTTCTCCGGCGCCGGGGTCGTTCTCCGGCTGCCGGGGTGGCTGCGGGGCCTCGTGGGTGCCCCGCCACCTGCGGGCCTGCCCCAGGTCCCCGGCTCCCTTCCCCCTGCTCTCGCTCCGTTTTCGGAGCTCAGGGTTTTCGCGCCGGCCGGCAGGCGGCCCGGATGGGTGTTGGACGCTCTCCCGGGCCCCGGGGATTCCGGGAGGAGGAGCGCGCTCCGTGCCCTGCTTCGCCTGGCTTGGGTTGCCTGCCCTGTCTGTCACTTTCCTCCTAGTGCATTTTCCTAACCGTGACCCGGGTTTGCACAAAGTCGGCCTTTGGCCTTTGCGAACTCCCTTTTGCTAGGGCAGTCTTTGCAGTGTAGAGGAGTTCAGCGAACAAACTTGAGCGTCGACCCTTTTCTTCACTCAGCCTCAGCAGCTATTCCTGATGATTCTAGCTCCCCTCCTCTTGGGTATTGTGAAGTAAATCGCCGGTGTCATCTCTTTTACCTGGTCCATTATCCTTTCTGATCACTTGCTTTCCCCCCCCCCCCCTTCCTAATGAGAAATTGAGTAAATTAAGGTATCTGGAGAACTGTACTACAAGTATCACCACCTTCTGCTCAGGTTTTAAAAAACTACTAAGATCTGAGGTCGTAAAAAACCCTAGGGGAGTCCGATTACTACTTTGGAGCAACTATGATTATGTTTCTATTTCTGTTTACGGAGATTTTAGTGTGCTTGAGGCACTGTGCGATTGTCTCTACAGGTGTTATTTTAGGGTTGCAGGAAAAGTAAATTAGGTCACACAAATTGCCTAAGGTTACCTTGTCAATGGGAGATGGAATGAGTGATGTTAATCTCGATTTTTGTTGTTGTAAAATGTTTCCTTTTTTTTTAACTTTAATAAGTTTCTACAGGGTGAAGTTACAGAGTAGGTCAGAAACCTGCTGGAAATGTACAAATGTACAATACCATAAGGGAATTGTATGTTTCCCTGAAAGATTGATACAACTGAACTTAGAGTTAAGAACAATGTTATATAAACGTGGTTGGATAGATACAGGATTGCAGTTTTTATTAAAATATGGCCAGTTAAAAGGGGAAGGGAAAAGGAGGAACTGTGTACCTCAGTGATGCACATCCTGGATATTTGTACTACTTCCTCTGTATCCCTCCTCTCCGTTTTATTCAGTGTCTGCGACACTGGCTTCATCCAAAAAACGTTGCAGGAACAAGGCATTAGAGGGATAGCTGAGCTTACAGCACGGTGGACAAGGTCTGTGAGGGTGGAGTTTAGAATTCCTCCTGGAGTGGGTCTGTAGGAGGTCTCAGAAGGACAGACTCCCACGTGAAGCCAGCAAGTGCTTGCCTTTGAGGAGTTTGAACTTAATAAAGGGTGACAAGATCAAAGCCATCTCGTAGAAGGTGGTGAGCTGGCGCTGTCAGGGGTGAGCTTTCCTGAGTTGTTGAAGGGATTAGGGAGTTGGCCTAAGAATGTACAGGAAGCAGATGAGCTTATCTGGTGAATTCATGAATAACGCAAAGTCGTGGAGAAACAGAAGGGCAAGTATTGGTAGTATAGATTTGGAAATGTTGGTGAACTTCATTTCCCAAGGGTTTTTCTTGGACAGCTGTGTATACTGCTCCCTGAAATATTAATTTAACTATTGTTTTATTATGTACTGTTTGTAGAAATTATATAATGTAAACAAGTGACCAAAATAATCCTGTGATCCCACTGCTTAGATAGTCCCTGATGCATTGCTGTATACCTTAGGTTGGCAAACTGTGCTCCAAGGGCCTGACCTGGTCAGAGGCTTACTTTGGCATGTGCGGGGAGAGGGAAGAAGTTTGTATGCTTGTGTAAAGATATTTCTTTTTACGGACTGTTTCTTGACACCTGCAAATTATTTGAAACTTAAATTTATTGGAATCCAGCTCTACTCACTTATTTACATGTTGTTTATGGTGTTTCTGCACTGACAGGGCAAGGATTGAAAATGCTTTTGTCATCCTCTTTTCTTGGCTTTTTTAAATGAATGTACCTTATCACATTTATCTACAAGGATTAGATTATACAAGTGTTTTATAATCTGGTTTGTGTATTGAACATCTTTCTCAGATTTAAAACTTTATCTTTGTAATGTCTGATTACTTGAAAGTATAAATGAGGTACCCTTGTACATGTTTTTTATTTTTTCTTAAGATTTTTTTAGTGGGCGGGGCCCAGCCAGTGGCCTAGCAGCTGAAATCCTCGCCTTGAATGCGCCAGAATCCCATATGGGCGCCAGTTCTAATCCCGGCAGCTCCACTTCCCATCCTGCTCCCTGCTTGTGGCCTGGGAAAGCAGTTGAGGACGGCCCAAAGCCTTGGGACTCTACACTCATGTAGGAGACCTGGAGGAGGTTCCTGCATCCCGGCTTTGGATCCGCATAGCACCAGTTGTTGTGTTTACTTGGGAAGTGAATCATCGGGATGGAAGATCTTCCTCTCTGTCTCTCCTCCTCTCTGTATATCTGAGTTTCCAGTAAAAATAAATCTTTTAAAAAAAAAAGATTTTTTTTTTTCTGGTTGGCAAGTGGGATATACAGAGAGGAGCAGAGATAGAGAGGAAGGTGCTCTGACCACAGCTGACAGCTGAGCTGATCTGAAGCCAGGAGCTTCTTCCGGGCTTCCCACATGGTTGCAGGGTTCCAAGGCTTTGGACTACTCTCTAGTGCTTTCCCAGGCCACAAGCAAGGAGCTGGATGGGAAGTGGAGTAGCCGGGATTAGACCTGGTGCCCAAATGGGATCCTTGTATATGCAAGGTGAAGACTTTAGGCACTAGGCTACCATGCCGGGCTCTTATTTTTTATATTGTTTATTTTTAATGATTCATTTATTTTTATTGCAAAGTCAGATTTGCAGAGAGGAAAAACAGAAAGATAGGTCTTTTATCCATTGATTGATCCTCAACTGGTTGCAACAGCTTGAGCTGAGCCTTTGCTCTGAAGGAAGGAGTCAGAAGCATCTTCTGGGTCTCCCACCCAGGTGTAGGGGCCCAAGGCTTTGGACCGCCCTATAATGCTTTCCCAGGCCACAAACAGGGAGCTGGATGGGAAGTGCAGCACCCCCGATATAAACAAGTTCCCATATGGAAACCTGATACATGCAAATTGAGGACCGTAGCCATTAGGCTACTGTGTCGGGCCCACCCTTGTGTATTTAAAAAGTCCTCTTTCAATAAATGTTTTGGGTTTCCTTTGCAGTTTTAAAAAGCTATTAATGATGCTATAGAGGATAACATTTTCTATTCTGATTTAATTTTTAGTTTTAAGTATTTGGCAGGTAGAGTGATGAAGAGGGCTATCTAGAGATCTGCCATCTTCTGGTTCACTACTCAGATGCCTGCAAGAGCCAGGGCTGGGCCAGACTGAAACCAGGAGCTCTGGCTCTCCCTCCTCAGGAACTCAGTGCTGGTGTCCCCGTGGCCTGCCTCCCAGGCGTGTTGTCAGGAAGCTGAATCCTGAATTGGAAGCACAGCAGCTGAGAGTCAAACAGGCACTCTGCCACAGGATGCGGGCATCCCAAGCACTCTGCCATGTCCCTCTAAGCAGGTTTCTGTTACTGTCCGTTACTTTCTTTAGCAGAAATTTGTGGAAATGAATCTGGATGGTCTTCTTTTTCATTTTATCAGGTTCTCCCCTTCCCTCCTCTCCCCTTCCCTCCTTCTCTCTCTCTCTCCCCTCCTCCCTCCCTTCTTTTCTGGTTTATTTATTCTTATTGGAAAGGCAGATCTACAGAGAGAAAGAGGGAGAGAGAAAGATGTTTTACTGGTTCACTACCCAAAAGGCTACAACAACCAGAGTTGAGCTGGTCTAAAGCCAGGAACCAGGAGCTTTTTCCGGGTCTCCCACTTGGGTGCAGGGTGCCAAGGTTTTAGTCCATCCTCCACTACTCTCACTGGCCACAGGCCAGGAACTACACGGGAAGTGGAACAGTTGGGACATGAACCGGCGACCATATGGGATCCTGGCACATGCAAGGTGAGGCCATTGCCCTGGACCCTGTAACTCTGCTTTTGAAAGAAATAAAGTCTTAAAACATTTATGTAGGGCCTGGTACAGTAGCCTGCTGGCTAAAGACTTCACCTAGTATGCACTGGAATCGCATATGGTGCCGGTTCTAATCCTGGCTGCTCCATTTCCCATCCAGCTCCCTGCTTGTGGCTTGGGAAAGCAGTCGAAGGTGGCCCAAAGCCTTGGGTTCCTGCACCTACATGGAAGACCTGGAAGACGCTCTTGGCATTGGATCAGCTTCTTGCCCCATTTGCTCATAAATATTGCTCAGTAATTATGCCATAGATACTGGGAAGGTCTTAGCGACATTAAGGATAGTAAATTGAGTAAACTTTTTGTTTTTATTATTTTTTAAATTCAGATTCATTATGCATCATTGTCACTGTAATATGGACTTTTTATGGGGTACATTGATATGATTGATTATTTGATCTCAGTAGTCTGAGAACATAAATGTTATTTGAATGATTTAACTTACCAAATAATCAAGAATGTTCTGTTCTTATTGTTAGAGCTTCTCCCTAGCTGTATTGGTCAGACTCCTCCATTAAAATGTAGATGGTTTAATCATTTCCTTGAATAATTCTCAGACTGTATAAAAAATAATTTCCATTTCATTATAATTAAAAGTTTTTGGCATTTTCCATTTTATGACAATCATATAGTTAATGCTGCTGATGAAATTAGTGCTACTAACTTATTAGTACTATCTCAAAACAGGCATATGACTTGATGGTATTATTGTGTATAATTATTG